CTGGCAACTTACCTGATCTCCAGAGGTCTGGTCCAATTCGTTGTCAACCACAAAGAGAAAGAGACAAAGGAAGAACAGTGTGAAATGTACCAGCAGGTGCTCTCGCCTCACACACCTTGAGCATCACAAGTTGGGACAGAGCTATGAGCCACTGGTGACAGACTGAGCCGAATCTCAGCCCACCTACCGGCCCCAGAGTAAGTGGCCTGTGGCTGTCGTGATAAATTATTCCTCTACACTCTTGTAGCTACCAAACCCCCAGTTTGGTTACTCTCTTCTTACTCATCTCTAAAGATGAGTTGCCTTAGATCCAGTTCTGCCCCCTTCAGCTTTTTCTGTGATTTCTGAAAGCCTGCTTTGATGTCATTTTTCTGAAATTCTAAAGAACACCAGTAATCCCAGAACTTGGGAGGCAGAGTCGGGAGGATCACAAGTTTGAGCCCTGCCTGGAGGACATAACAAGATCCTGTCTCCTAAAAAGAAGTCAGTGTTGTTGCCATTTTGGTACTTCTTGGACTATTTGTTTGCTCGTTTATCTTGTCCTTTGGCATTTGTCCTGTACTTCTGATCATTGAACCACTTTGGGTGCACTTTATTTTTTTATCTGTTTTACTCCTTCATAGCCGTAATCTCCAGCTAGGCCCTAAGAGGCTGCAGGAGGTTTTACCAAGAGCAACCTTGGAGCCCCAGAACTGTGTCTGTGTCTCTGGGATTTATTAATCCAGCCCTGCACTCTCGCTCCTGAAGACTTTAGCTTTCTCTTAGTGTGTTTTCCATATTCCTAGCCCAGCCCTTTTTTTTCTTCTCTTTCTCTTTGAATTACAAATCCAGCTGACTTACTATTCCATGTATCAACCAGAATAAATCGTAGGGATATTTATTAGTCAATCCCCCTAAATTCTAAGCCAGATACAATAGCTTTCATTGGTCACCAGTTTAGTTATCACAGCACAATTGGTTAAAATATCAAAGTTGATAATTACACAAACATGAAATCCAGAACTCAAAGGTCCTCTGAGAGGTGAGACAGCCCAATCCCACCCCTCCCAAGAGGCACACAAATTAGTCCTAGAGCTAAGGTACCGTGAAGTATTTCAGCCTTCACTGTCACTTCCTGTCACCCCCTGCAGCAGTCCCACGGCTGTTATGCTGAGGAAGCTCTTCCTCAGGTCCAACCTCGGTGACTCTGTGGCTGTTTTCAGCCATCCCCAGAGTGAGTGCTATCCATTCATCCCCAGCGTGAAATACACTTGGCTGTGAACACTGAGTACAACGTAAAACTGACATTCGACCTCTCCCGCCATCCTGCATGCCAGATTTCTTGTTAAAATCTCATGCCTGCCCTAGACAAAGGCCCTTGCTTGTAGGGCAACGGTCCAAAAGCAGGTCAAGTAGAAGAGACGGCACTGTTAACCAACTTCTCTTCGCACCATACCTAGAGCACCTGCTCTTCTCTTTTCTGGTATTAATCAATGAGCATTCGTTAGCTTGTGGATTCTCAGGGCCAGGCTTCCGGACAAGGCGCTGGTCTCCGCATCTCTGCTCCACGGTGGCTGAGCTGGACTCATCTGAAGCTCCTTCCCCATGTCTGGTACCTGTACGGCAGCCGTGAAGGCCAGCTGGATACCAGGACTGATGCCCAGAGGGCCTGTGTCGTGGCGAAGGGCTGGGCAGCTGAGCAGATGCTGGAAGGGGAGGTGTCTGGACAGCCGGGTCCAGAAGCACAGGTGGATTCATGCGCCCACGGTGACTTCACCGTCATTTTCTTATCATTCGTGTACGTCTGTGGCCCATAAGAGCCAAGTTTTGGGGGAATCACACATGGACACATCAACCTTTATCATCTGCAATCCCCCTCTTCCATCTTCCACCCCCCAGCCCCTACTCCTTCTCTGCTAAGTCTACCTTTTTGGTTCCTACCATCCATTTTTTTATTCTACTCTCTATTTATATTTTAGATGCGTACCTTTCTGAAGTCTCTTTCTCCTCTTACTACACCCCTAACCATCCGTTCACGTAGGACCTCTATGTGATGGTTGCTCGCTTAAAACCTGGTCCTAAGTTGTCTAGGCCGGAGGTACATCAGGGAATAAAAACTTCGATGAGAGAGAAAAGTACACTCTGACTACGCAGAAGTTTGAAAGTCAGCTTGATACGTTCAAGTGCAATGTGAGGCAAGGAGAAACAGCGGCCCAGAGCGAGTGTGAGGAGTGGTTGAGAGGATGTTCGTGGGGCTTGTGACCGCTGAGCTTATTTTCAAGTTCACCCTCTCTTTGGACCCACGGAGGAGATAAATATGAACTTCCCTAATTATAAAACGGCCAGAAAAGCCTGGGCCTTTTGTGGGAGGAGAGGTGAAATCATGAGCCTGTCCCTCGCTGCGCCTCGCGTGGTGAGATAAGAAGCTCTCTCTCCCCTCCTTACCCTTTAGGGTCCTTTTTCGTCCAGTTCGCCAGCACCAGGCCAGAGTGGGCCAAGATGGGTGGGAGCCCCAGGCTCCCGGACACTCCCACCATGGGAACGGCAAGGTTCCTCGGAAGCACCTTTGAGACACAAATCCAGACAGTGAGCACATTCTAGGGAGAATACGGAGGGCTGCAGTCCTCATGTATCCCGGCAATCCTGGGGTCGAGAGATGCCTAGGGACCAAACGCAAATTACCCAGTGGATCCCTGTTTACCTGCTGTGCAGCTTCCCATGAACAACCGGAAGTACTGTGTAGGAGGATGCGCTGTGCTGGGAATGAGGAGGAGGATTTCCAAACCGCGCAGGCACAGAGCGGGGGCTGAGAAGGTAAACAGCAGGAAAAGCTCTCCAGATAAAGACAGACTTAGATAGATAGCTAAGGGGCGTGTGTGTGCCCGTCAGGGAGAGGAAGTGGACGGACACTCAGCCTGTGTGCTACCCACTGTGGGTCCCTTCAGAGCTCAGACCTGGTAACAACTTTCGAGGAAGCCCAGCACGGGCAGGCACGCTCCGCCCTCCTTTGCCTCTTCTGCCTCCGTCTGACTTCTCAGTTTCGGCCTGCACTTCAGGAAGTGAATCCCCGGTGCACACCTCAAGGTCTAACAGCACTGAAACACAACCGTTTTCCTTCCACCCAAAAGACACCTGAGGTCCAGAACTCGTGTCCACATGCCTGGCTCAGCTGCTCAGCTCGCCGTCCTCCCGACAGCTGCCCACCGCAGAGCCTGGGACAGCTGCTCAGCGCCACAGGGCTTTCGGCCCAGGGAAAGGCTAAATGCTTGTGGTTCAGGGAAAAGTCCTTCTGCTCCTCAGTTCGCATCTCCTTCCCTTTTACGCTAGAAACATCTATGAAACAAGCTCTTTTTCTACCTTTTATGAACCTTACATTTTAGATAAATGTGGGATAGAATGGTATGGGGTAGGAAACAATGAAGAACTTTAGAGAGTTCTGAAATTAAAACTTAAAGGTGGTTTTTCTCAAAGGCAAGGGAGGGGAAGTCCTGGGGAAATGAGTCACAGGCTTAGCTGAGATGTTCAAGGAGGGGACAGAGCGAGGAAGGGGTGGGAAGCCCCTCTCCCTGCCCAACCTTCCCCTGACTAAAGAAATGCCTGAGACCAACTGCCTTGGGGCAGAGACGGATGAAGGGCAGCCTGACCCACTTACTTATGCAAAGCACCAACACCTCAATTAAATCCTAATGCTGAGGTTTTAGTTTAGAAAAAACAACTCTAATATCTTTTGTTTTAAGAGAAAAACACAGTGCCAGGTGTGGTGGCACACACCTGTAATCCCAGCACTCAGGAGGCTGAGGCAGGACGATCACTGTGAGTTCAAGACCAGCCTGGGCTACATAGTGAGTTCCAGGTCAGTCTCAACTACATAGCGAGACCCTGTCTCAAAA